TCATATTTATCATTAACCACATTTGCTTTCCATGCTCAGATCACTTCTCAATGTACTAGTTTGTTGATAACCTAAAGGTAGAATAATTCCTATATTATCTTTGCCTTCATACTCAGTACTTAATTTATTATGGGGAAAGAGGTCATTCATGATTAACTTCTTCCTGTGTTTCTTTTAAGCTTTAATTATATTTAAAGGGTTGTTGTTTGTTTGTTTGTTTTGGACTACTGAAAAGATAACATAATTTTCATTTGACTCATTGCACTATGATAGTGGCTTAAAATATGTTTTTGCCTTTTTAGGCTTTGGCAAAACAAGCCAAAATTGATTTTGAAGAACAGATCCTGAGAGAGAAGGAATTTCATGCCCAGATTGCTATGGAAAGAGCTAAGGCTTCTTATAAAAAGCATTATGAAATATGTGCAGAAATTTTGGATCAAATTCTTGATTTGTCCACAAAAGTAGCAGACTATCGAATGCTGACAAATAAGTAAGTTCTCTTTCTATAATTAATACAGTTGAGACACCACAGATAATAAGAAAGGATAAGATTGTGAAGCAGACACTAGGTTGATGAGTAAAGAGAGACAAAGATGTTTCATACCAAGAAGTAAAGTCCAGGACCTCTTGATTTACTGAGTTGATTCATCTACTGACTAACTTTATTTCAGTGTTCATATGTCTTTTTCCATTCAGAATGTGTTTAATTCATCTTGTATATACAAGGACAACTATGATAATTTATTTGAAACACTTATAATTTACCAAAAGAGTGAATTTAAAGATTATTTCCCCAATTATTAAACCTACTTATTTTTATCACACTTTGTTTCTAGAAGAAATCAGAATATCTGTAAGGAAATATTTAAAAGTAAAAAAATAAATAAATAAATATGCCAATGTCATAAAAAAAAAGTCAAATCCAAATAAAAGTAGGAAGCTTAGAATAAGGGATAAATTGAAACGTAATTATATAAGCAGTTGTGGATTTGCCAGTCGTTCATTGCAACCAAGCTGTATATTTGACCTAACCTGCCCAGTGACCAAAGTGAAAAAAGAAACATGTTATATTATTTTTATTTTCCATGCCATTTCTCTACAAAATAAAAAATTGTTCTTGGCGCTCTGTTCAGAGTAGTTGTTTTATATGTGATCTCACCACAGGTATACTGCATGGCGTAGGCTACCTTGTAAACAATGTCTTGGGCCAATGTGGTATCTGGACTCATAGACCTGTTTCTTATGGTGTATTTTGCCAAAAGCTGAAGCAGAAAGACACTACAATAGATCTAGTGAAAGCAGTTCCACAAGGTCAAGGATAATACAAGCCAGTTAAATTGGCATACCTCTCAAGTACCCAGGGTGAGATCTTCTTGAGACCCCACAATGAAAGGAATGAAAGCCAGATAGCCAGCAGGGTAGGACAGAAGAGGGAAAGCACCCCATGGCCCCTGTTCATAAAAAGCCTTTCTCCTCAGCTCTCACCCCTGTGGCCCTGTGTCTAGCCCAGTTTCATGTAAAAAAATCTCCTAAATGAACTAATAAAGCCAT